TAATAATAATAATAATAATAATAATAATAATAATAATAATAATAAAATAATGACCTGAAATATTTGATAAATGCAAGACTGGGAATACACTTTGTGGCATCTGCTCCGGAGAAGAAAAATGGCATAGCTATATATTTAAGGAAAGACTTAAAGACTAAATAAATTGAAGCAGAGCCTCAAGAAAGATATATTGCAATTGAATTGTTAATAGAAGGAAAGAAAATACTCTTAACGGGAGTATATGCTTCCAATCAACAACAAGAAAATTTTTACAAGTTCCTGCATACTAAATTAATACAATGGGATTATAGTTCGTGTATATTATTGGGTGACTGGAATGGAGTATTGGATACTATGAAAGACAAGAAGGGACTTTTGCAAAATACCCAAATACGAGCAAGATTGCCTAAATCTTTTTTCGACATGATGGATGATATGGAACTGAGAGATATTTGGCATGAACGGAATGTTAACAAGACTTTACATTTTTTTCTGATAGGCACCAATCCTTTTCTAGAATTGACTTTATATTAATTACGAATGACTTTCTTTCCAGGGTGAAGAAGACGAAGATATGCCCGAGAATCCTAACAGATCATAATCTGGTGTGGATGGAACTGGAATATGGAGAGGGGTCTAGGAGGTCTTGAAGGTTAAATGAAAAATTATTTTGATATGAGGGAAATGTGATATAATGTAAAAAACTATTGAAAGAATATTTTGTTTTTAACATGCATAAGGGAGCACCCATGGAAATGGTTTGGGATGCAAGTAAAGCATATATGAAAGGTGTTCTAATAAATTTGAATAACCTACAAAGACATAGACAGGGGGAAAAATGGAGGGAACTAGAAGAGGAGATAAAAAGAAAGAGCAGGTGCTAATATCTAACCCAGATGATAAGAAGACAAAAGAAGTAATTACTTTACTGCGACGGCAATTTAACATGTTGATGTCAGACCAGGAAGCAACTAATTTGCTATATGCAAATAAATGCAATGCAAATAAACCAGGTAGATGGTTAGCATATATGTTAAGGAAAAAACAAAAGTCTCGCACTATAGAGAAGATAGAGTACAAAGGTAAAGAAGTGTATCAACATAATATGATTAAAAAGGCCTTTTTAGAATTTTATACGAGACTGTATGCTGGTGATAAAATACAAGTTATAGATATAGATAGATATTTGGAGAAGGAGAATATGCCCATAGTTACAGATGAGCAAAGGGAAAGAATTAATCAACCGATAACCACAGAGGAAATTCTCCTGGTAATTAAGCAATTAAAAGTTGGTAAGGTCCCTGGTACAGATGGATTGACAGTGCTTTACTATAAAAATTTACAACTAGAAATGGTAGAACCCCTTAAGGAACTATTTAGTAAAATACAATTGGGAGGAAGGGTACCACCATCTTGGAGAACAGCCTTTATTTCCCTTTGCTCATC